CATTACACATATCCCCGAAATCCTACGCACTTTTGAGAAAAAAATTCGAGAAAGTGTGAAATTTTTGGACGGAAAAAAAAAATTCAAATCGTTCTGGAAAAATTATTTTTGGTCGCGGGGGTCAATTACAATAATTTTTGGTGAATAGATAAATCCCTAAAATCCTGCGCATTTTCAAGAAAAAAATTCAGTAAGTGCCGAACTTTAAACGTTAATAACTTTTTAACGGAGCTTCCATCAACAAATTGGTATACTTGATTTTCGTCTTATTTTAGCCTCTGGAATCCCCCATTAAAATTTTTGCCAGGGTTGTCCGAACACCCTGTATAATCCACCAGCATCCTCCCTCGCACCCCTTCTGTTAAAAGCTACATTCCACCGACCAAACAACCAGTTCTGAATCGGTTTCGAATTCTCGATGACTCATGTATCTTCGATCGCGCGTAACTATCTCTGTTGGTCCGGTAATAGAAGCGAGGAACGAGCATCGAAATTGCCCCGATGCCTGTCGATGGAAATGCAAACGGCGCTTCGTTCGGTTATTACCCGTTGTGTCACGTGTACCAACTGTTTCTCTAATGCGCCGTCGTAAGAAACTGATTTATATGCCTCGCAATCTCCAAGGACGTAACGTTTTATCGCGTTCAGCATCGACGCGAGAAAATCGTGCGATTTTAATATTTTTCCTTTTCAATAACGCCACGAAAACAACGATATTTTCGTTCTTATCTCTGACAGTCGGTAGAGCAGACATCAACGAGATCACCAACTGCTGCATGGATCAAGATGCGATAAGGAGTCAAGACGAAAATAAATGTTGCATAAGTTATTTCCCGAACACGAAAAAAACATGGACGAAACAGTAGGTGCAACGTGCAAATAAAATGGAAAAAATAAAATAATAAAAACTATTAAAAGAAGCAACGTTAATTACTCCACAGCAATTTGTGACCTTACATTGCTCGGAACGATTATTAAATATTAAAACGATATTGTTATGTAAATATTTGTATTGTTGTTGAAGATACTAAAAACGTCACATTTTAATGGAAATTCATTGTTAATCGATTTTATTATATTTATGTCGTATATTCACCAGAGACTGAGGTATATTTGTTTTTTTTTATCAGCCCCCTTGGGCAATGTAGCCTGCTACTTTATGGCTAAACGTATCCAAATGACTAAGCTCACCGTTTTGATAGTAGCTCAGAACAACATGAAATTCGAAACCGACTTATAAATTCGTATTTTTCCTGATCAGTTTATTTTCTGTAGTATATTTCGGACGTTTAAGTATCGTCTAACTTATCTAATATATTCGAAGTTTCGCAGAATAGATTAGGTTACATGAACGATTAAGAGTTATTGGTGCTTGGTAATCTTTTGATTATTTTTTATAGTGTACTACATCAGAGTAACGTTTTTTTTTTTCAGAAACTATAAAATAATGAAAGTAAAAAGTTATCGATATTGCAAATTCCATTTTAAAAATGAGAAAATTAATAAAGTTTTAGAATAGTTCACGACATCAGAGTAACGTTTTTTTTTTAGAAACTATAAAATAATTAATGTAAAAAGTTATCGATATTGCAAATTCCATTTTAAAAATGAGAAAATTAATAGAGTTTTAGAATAGTGCACATCAGAGTAACGTTTTTTTTTTTTCAGAAACTATAAAATAATGAAAGTAAAAAGTTATTGATATTGCAAATTTTATTTTAAAAATAAGAAAAGTAACAGAGTTTTAGAATAGTTCACGACATCAGAGTAACGTTTTTTTTTTAGAAACTATAAAATAATTAATGTAAAAAGTTATTGATATTGCAAATTTTATTTTAAAAATGAGAAAATTAATAGAGTTTTATAATTGATATATATACAGGGTGTTCAGCCACCCCTGGGAAAAATTTTATTGGCAGATGCCAAAATAAGACGAAAATCAAGAATATCAATTTTTCGTTTGAGGCTTCGTTAAAATGTTATTAACAATTAAATTCAAAAATATCAAATCGTTCTGGAAAAATTATTTTCGGTTGTGGGGGTCAATTACAATCATTTTTGGTCATTACACATATCCCCGAAATCCTACGCACTTTTGAGAAAAAAATTCGAGAAACTGAAATTTTTCGACGGAAAAAAAAAATTCAAATCGTTATGGAAAAATTATTTTCGGTTGCGGGGGTGAATTGCAATAATTTTTGGTGAATAGATAAATCCCCAAAATCCTGCGCATTTTCAAGAAAAAAAATCAGCAAGGGCCGAACTTTAAACGTTAATAACTTTTTCACGAAGCCTCCATCAAAAAATTGGTATTCCTGATTTTCGTCTTATTTTGGCCTCTAGAATCCCCCATTAAAATTTTTCCCAGGGGTGACCGAACATCCTCTATATTGTATTTTTACTTTTTTCAATTTCTTAATTTTTGCTAATATGCTGATTATTTAAAAATGTGGATACTTATTTCTTATCATATGTTATTACTCCTCAGCCAGGTATTTTTATTTCGACAAATTAAATTTAATTAAAAGTTTTTCGATACAGCCTATACATCTCAGAACATTTTTTATTATTTTGGATTAAAAAAATTTGTATGCATCCTCGAAAGATGTATAACAAAGTGAACGAAACACTGATACCGAAGTCTCATGATTTTTTTCTTAAAAAATTAAGAAAGAATGCCTAATTTTCTAGTTTAAATATTTAAAGTTTGTTGTATTTCAACAACATAATTATGAATTCATGCTGTCTCGTTTAAGTTTAACGACTTTTGAAAAAACGAGGAGTAATGTTCATTATCTTATTTATACACAAGATGCTACGCAGTTTCATTGCAAGTAGAGATATTCTCAAACTAAAGTAGAACGTTGATTATCGAAACTGTTTAGGTTGTTATTTTTAGTGTGATCTAGATCGTATACGATTTGTCTTTCTATTGTGCTCGTACTTATTGCGTTGTTTATTCAATTCCAATACGAATTAATAGGAAGGCCAATTTTTGAGATTATCAATTTTGGAAAACTAAAGTTGCAACTATGTAATAAAATAAATAACACATAAACGTAATATAGAAAATTAATAATATTTTAATATACCTAAGTTTTGTATTCCTTCCAAACTAAATATTTGAATATCTCTACTGTTAAAAATTAGGCATTATTTCTAAATTTTGTATGAAAAAGCCATAAGACTTTTCAATATCAGTGCTTAGCTCAGTTTATTGTCCATCTTTTGAGGGTACACACTAATTTTTTTAGCCCAAAATAATAAAAAATGTAGTAGTTCGATAATGGCATGTATAGGCTGTATCGAAAAACTTTCCAAGATGGCTGACGTCATAGTAACTATTCTGCTCATTTGAAACGAAAGAATCAAAATATATCTTGCTTAGTGGAGGCACAGTTTATAGTTCTAACTAAAAAAATTCAATCTCAATTTTTTTTAAATTAGCAATGCTTTAAAATTCAAGTATCAATTTTTCTCTCGTCTATGAAATTAAAAAAAAATATATGTACAGAGTGTTTAACCAATCCTGGGAAAAATTTTAATGGGAGATCCTAGAGGCCAAACTAAGATTAAAATCAAGAATACCAATTTGTTAATGGAGGCTTCGTTAAAAAGTTATTAACAATTGAATTCAAAAATTTCAAATCGTTCTGGAAAAATTATTTTCGGTTGCGGGGGTCAATTGCAATCATTTTTGGTGAATAGACATACCCTCAATTTCCTACATGTTTTCGAGAAAAAAATTCGAGACGGTGTGAAATTTTTCGACGGTAAAAACAAATTTCAAATCGTTCTGGAAAAATTATTTTCGGTTGGAGGGGTCTATTATAATCATTTTTGGTCAATAGACATACTCGCGAAATCCTACGTATTTTCGAGAAAAGAATTCAGAAAGGTTGACAAGTTTTTTGACAAAATTTCAAATTTCAAATTGTTTTGGAAAAATTATTTTTATTACGGTGGTCAATTACAATCATTTTTGGTGAATAGACATACCCCCGAAATCCTGTGCGTTTTCGAGAAAAAAATTCTGTATGGGCGGAGCTTTAAACGTTAATAATTTTTTCACGAAGCCTCCATCAACAAATTGATATTCTTGATTTTCGTCTTATTTTGGCCTGTAGAATCCCCCATTAAAATTTTTCCCAGGAATGGCCAAACAGGATGTGTCCAGTTATTGAGACATTTTGGTATTTTTTTTATCCTTTATTTATTTTAATTTTAATTAACAAAAATTTTATTCTTTGTAATCAGCTTAGTTAGTAGTGTTTATAATACAACATTTATGTATTAATCAATCAAAATTTAATAATTGTTTGTTCCAGAAGTGATAAAAGATATAATGAGCTAGTACGAGTATAATGAAATAGTTGTGATTGTAACTTAGTCATATTTTCAACTCACTTTCATCGAATAATGATTCATCTGTGAAATAATTGCTCTAGAAGCTTGCTGATAAAATGCCAATTCGCTATAATCTTTGTAGATAATCTTTGCATGATTTGCTGAATGATCAGTGTATCGATAAACCGCAATAAGTGGAAAATGAGTCAGACTCTTTCGTGAAACAGCATCCCATAACTTAAAATGACTATTAGTTTCGAATTTCTTGGAACGTGTACATAGAATTATACTGTAAATGAATATTCAGTTCCTGACAGTGATTATACTTAAGAATTCTGTCTCGAGAATTTTTTTAATATATCTCCATTCTCAGCTCTCGAGAATATAATTTAGAAACGGTTTCGAAATTCTCAAATGCCGACGGAAATTTTTTGTAATCTTCAGAATCTTAAAAGCCACCGATCAAAATTATAATTTCGTATCTGATTTTTTGCCTTTCGATCAATTTTCGGTGAAAATCACACGAACACCCTGTATAATTGTCTTTCGAAGAGAAGTTACTGCAAATAATATTGTGTCATAGAAAAGACACTTTAGTTAACAAAATTACCCATTCGTAATCTCTAATAAAACTTATAAAAAATTGACTCGACTTTTGATAAGAGAATGAATAAACACTTATTTGCACCGCGTATTTATCGTTTTAATTTCTTTGGTACAGATATTATAGATGCACTGTAATGTGTTGGAATTTTTACGTAGAAAATACCGGTTCCCCGTAATTCGGCTCTATTGGAGGTTCGTGTGACAAAGTTTCCAGCGAAACGTGGCCCGGTTTCCGGCAGTTCGGGACCGTCGAAATTCCCGATAGAGGAGAAGAGAAGCGCCGTAACGAAGAGAAAGAAGAAACTGCAACGGGGAGTCTGCCGTCTGGCCGACACAGGCCGCTCCAGCAGGCGAGCAAGTGCCAGTTGCTCGGCAGCAGTTGCCACGGCTGGACATACGTCTCGCGTCCTTTCGTGGCGGAGCCCTCTTCTTTGCATGAAGCTACCCCCGTTGGACCCGTCGCGGTTCGAAAAAGGGAATCGTTTGGTCCTCGGTAAACGGCGCGGCGGCGGCCGGGAACGTAACAAAGTGGCAACGCGGTATCGCGAACAGAGCAGCGCAAACGGAGGACAAGAGAAATCATGAAAAGGAGGATGCCATGTGTCAGGAACAGTGAGTGCGTGTGAGTGTCGTGCGTGTTCGTGCGTGTCGGACCAGCGGCTTCGGTCCTTCGACCCTCGAGGACGTACCACCACCAGCCGAGGACACGATGTTGATCCCGATGATCCGTGCAGCCGTCCTCCTATCAGTCTTCGTTTATCTCGATGCTGCCGCCAACACCGTTACCATGGCAAAGGTAAGCAACCAAATAACAATGTACAATTCAGCGGAGAATCGTTCGTTGCAACGATATCGCTCTCGCGATTTATTCCATCCTAGACACGAGTGATGTATGTTATGTATGTATAGGATTTTGTTTGTAGGATAGACGTACGGTTCTAAACGTGCAAACAGGTAATTCTTTTATGATAGGAAATATCTTCATTCAATAATGAATTTTACGTTCCAGCTTATAACCCGTTCCCATCTTTCAGATAGCTTCGTAACTCCCATAAAAAACTAAACAAGCGCTATTTAACGAGCCCATTTTTTGTTTTCGTTTGTAGGTTGGCCAAAAATTTCGAACTGTTCTAAACGTGCAAATAGGCAATTCTTTTATGATAGGAAATATCTTCATTTTACGTTCCAACTTATAACCTATTCCCATCTATCAGATAGCTTCATAACCCCCGTAAAAAGATGAACAAGCGCTATTTAATGACCTCTTAGGAATCGAAGTTTTTCTATCTTTTTCAAAATATAACAGATTAATACTTCGAAAATGACCTTTTTGGATATTCATTCGTAAAATTATAGATAAAATCCAATCTTCAGACTTTTTCGTGACAATATACAATTAAATGTTGAGTATCAAATAATTATATGGTTTTAAGATTTGAACCGAAGTTATTTGCTTTTCACACAGCGCCTGAAGATAAGTATCGCCAAAATTCGAACGAAATATTTGGCCAACCCAATGAAATGCACTTTCACGATAGTAACGCTATCGATCATTGGTTTATATCAGTGTTGACTTGAAACCAATGGAAAACTTATGGCGGATCCCTCGAGCTAGAAATATTAAATGGATTTTGAACAAAAATAATTTATTTAATCGCATCAGCAATCTGGTTCGTGGATTTCCATTAAATTGTTCGAAATATGATTATCAGTGACGGGGAATTACCTTATCTTTTAGGTAAAAATCATCACGTTTGAATTTAGAAAACCGTTTTTAACAGATTGGAAGTGGTTGGAGTGGATTCACCAAATCCATAAACATATGTTTTTTCACTCGATGTCTGTTTTTAATATTAATTTTCAACACAATTTTCAACAGTTTTCAACAAAATAAATAACAAGTTAATAGTAATCTATTGTTTGATGCCTAATATATTGCATGACTGTTTTAACAATGTTTTAACCGTTTCAATATTATTTAAATAGTTTAATATTTTACAATTTTTAATTTTTACATATTTACTAGAATAAAGCGTAAAAATAAATATAAAACATTAGTAAATTCGCATAAGGATTTTTGAATTTACGTAATATATTATTTAATATCAAATTAATTTTCTTTCATCGAATAGTGTTATAAAATTCTTAATCTGCACTTGATTTCCAGATGAAACTATCTTTTTTAATACCACAAATGAAATGACAAAATGATGGATATATCATAAGTGTAAAACGAAGTTGATAAAATGCAATCTTTTCAGTTTCTTTATTGACGTTTGCAGTTACTTAAAAAGCGACATGTTTCTCAATTCTCAGATGTTTTCAAAAGTTTGGTAAATTTTTAGATTCTTTTCCAAATTAACGTAAACAGAAATTAGTCTAGGAACGAATTAAAAATTTTCATTTCTTAAACGTAAATAAAACTTGCTTAACTTTTCAGGTAAATCGTATTTTACCATTAGATATTAACCAAGATAAATGTTTTGATATTAAAAATTGTAAACCGTTGAATTTTATTGTTATTATAAGCCCCGAGTTATTTTCAAATAAAAATCAAGTTGTCAGACATCCTGTGGTACTTTTTGTATTTTTTTTATAATATTGTACTTGTTTTACTTGCATAAAAATTTCTTCAGATATTTTCACCAGCTTCACCGGGCAAATGTACAAATTAATTAATTGTTAATAACTTCGTATTCAATAGTATATAGTAAAAAAGAAAAGTCGTAAGAAAGTTTCGAGTTACGTTGGTAATCGTAGACAAAATTCACCAGAATCGCGATAGCAATATTGTAGTTGGTCATACATTATAAGTTATCCCACATTACGTAATATTACATATTAGGTTATCCCACAAGTTCGTTCAAGATATTCTGAAATTGATCTAAAATTTGTAATTTACTAGAAAACAAACAATTTATAAAAATTTGAACGAAATAGATATTGCGTCAAAGTTGGAAGTTTGGAATCGACACTTACGGAACGAAATTTTTTTGCTCGTACGTAAGATTGATTGCACGAATATTTTTGTTAGCATATAACAAAACCGAACCTTCTAAGAAATAAAAAGCAGCAATCTCCAGGCTCATTAGTGGGTTAGCAATTTATAAATGTCAACGTTTTAATGAAAAGCGTTGAACTACATTTTAATAAAAAATAAAACAAGTTTTGTAAATACAATGGTCTCGCCAAACGAGGAGGGAATTGACGAATGAAAAGAGGTTTACTGTTTTTCATACAATTCCATTATATGTTTAAAATATTGCTTTAAGTTTCAGTACAAAACTCCGGCACGAACATATGGGACGATCTAATATAGTAGAGGTTATGTCTGATTATCTGTTGTTAATTTATAATAGAGGTTATGTTTGATTATCTCATGTTTACACGACTGCACTTTCTGATTAACAATGTAGAATAATAGACGAGTATTCGGGTACATTATTAATATGCATTCCATTATTTGCGGAAATTAATTATTTTTGTTTAAATTTAAAGTTGCAGTAAAAACGTAAGGTTAAGTGTATTTTGGTAGATTCACTGTTAGAAACAAATGACTGTCGTTACTGTGTTTATGGTGTAAATTATAAATGCCAGGCAGTCAAATTTGTTAAACATGTATGCGTAAAAGTCATTTTTTTAATGCACATACTATGCAGGAACAGGTCAAATGAACAGTATGTGCAGCAAGAGTACAAAATATTGCCCCCCCTTGGCACCTAACTTAACCAAGACCTAACTCAGCTACAGATATCCTAAAAGTAACATATACATGCTAACATACAATTACGAGCAATGTCATATTATTACACAACTAAAATTAAATAAAAATACTGTTTTGCAATGGTCTTATTTTGTAGGATAAATAATGGTCTATTGGCTGTATAATTTCTACAGAGCAATTGGAAGGGTAAAGAAGATTGTCGAGATCGATGAATCAACATTTTGTCATAGAAAATATCACAGAGGCCATTTGAAAATTAATCGCAGCGTCAATTTTTAAGATCCCATTACTGATGCTTACGCAAATTAAATTGAGACCACTTGGAAGCATGCCACACATTCTTTAATCTTTTTTATAACATATAACACTATCAATATTTTATATTCTCAAGAAGGGTAACTTGGATGAGCCATTACATATTTAGTAAATGTACCTAACAGGAAAATGGTGATTTATTCGATGAAATATTGGCAGAAATAGGAGAAATTTCATTCGATACATGTTTAACAAATTAGCATTTGACTTTCTGGCATTTACAATTTACAACATGAACACGGTAACAACAGTCACTTGTTTCTAACTGTGAACCTGTCTGGATATAACCTTACTTTTTTATTGCAACTTTCCGACAAGTTTAAACAAAATTAACGAATTTCCGCAAATAGTGAAATGCATATTAATGATGTACCGAATCAGGCGAATCGTATGACGTATAACTCACCCCGATCGGTGAACGGTCCGTTTGCTAGGAATATACCAAAGGCTGCACTTTCTGATTAACAATGTAGAATAATAGACGAGTATTCGAGTACATTATTAATATGAATTCCATTATTTGCGGAAATTAATTATTTTTGTTTAAAGTTGCAGTAAAAACGTAAGGTTAAGTGTATTTTGGCAGATTCACAGTTAGAAACAAATGACTGTCGTTACTGTGTTTATGGTGTAAATTATAAATGCCAGGCAGTCAAATTTGTTAAACATGTATGCGTAAAAGTCATTTTTTTAATGCACATACTATGCAGGAACAGGTCAAATGAACAGTATGTGCAGCAAGAGTACAAAATATTGCCCCCCCTTGGCACCTAACTTAACCAAGACCTAACTCAGCTACAGATATCCTAAAATTAACATATACATGCTAACATACAATTACGAGCAATGTCATATTATTACACAACTAAAATTAAATAAAAATACTGTTTTGCAATGGTCTTATTTTGTAGGATAAATAATGGTCTATTGGCTGTATAATTTCTACAGAGCAATTGGAAGGGTAAAGAAGATTGTCGAGATCGATGAATCAACATTTTGTCATAGAAAATATCACAGAGGCCATTTGAAAATTAATCACAGCGTCAATTTTTAAGATCCCATTACTGATGCTTACGCAAAATAAATTGAGACCACTTGGAAGCATGCCACACATTCTTTAATCTTTTTTATAACATATAACACTATCAATATTTTATATTCTCAAGAAGGGTAACTTGGATGAGCCATTACATATTTAGTAAATGTACCTAACAGGAAAATGGTGATTTATTCGATGAAATATTGGCAGAAATAGGAGAAATTTCATTCGATACATGTTTAACAAATTAGCATTTGACTTTCTGGCATGTACAATTTACAACATGAACACGGTAACAACAGTCACTTGTTTCTAACTGTGAACCTGTCTGGATATAACCTTACTTTTTTATTGCAACTTTCCGACAAGTTTAAACAAAATTAACGAATTTCCGCAAATAGTGAAATGCATATTAATGATGTACCGAATCAGGCGAATCGTATGACGTATAACTCACCCCGATCGGTGAACGGTCCGTTTGCTAGGAATATACCAAAGGCTGCACTTTCTGATTAACAATGTAGAATAATAGACGAGTATTCGAGTACATTATTAATATGCATTCCATTATTTGCGGAAATTAATTATTTTTGTTTAAATTTAAAGTTGCAGTAAAAACGTAAGGTTAAGTGTATTTTGGTAGATTCACTGTTAGAAACAAATGACTGTCGTTACTGTGTTTATGGTGTAAATTATAAATGCCAGGCAGTCAAATTTG